AGTCAGAAATATTTTAAAATTAATCCTTCTCTTTTGTATAGTCTGAAAAAGGATAGAGGCGTTCATCTTTCTTCGAATTCCTTTCTATTATAAAAGTCTCATTCGGATTGTTATTCAATCAATCGTGGTACAGTATTTTGAGAATTTTTGGTTTTCTGATTGATTCGATTCCAAACATTAATTATTACGTTTTTGATCATGAATTGCTTTCGCTTTACATTATTTGCTATTAATAACAAATATTCTTTTAAAATAAATCACAATAATCGAAATGATTTCACTGTTTTTTAAAAATAAGATTTCATTTAGATCCCTTCAGGATGCATTGTTTGAAATATATTCTTATTTTTATAAGGTTAAGATTTTTTTTTCATTTGATTGCAATTATATTTTACTTTAGGTTTCTCTTTTATGTTGATCCCTTCCACAAATATAAGATAAGCTTTTGCTTATTTTCTTTTATTTTTTTTCTGTTTGGATCACTTCAAATATAGAAATTTGAACAATATCGTTAATTATATTTGGATAATGCATATTTTTAGGTTTTTTTTCGTGTCATATCCCTTCTGCAAATACAAGTAAAGTTCTGAATGGTTCAGATCAATCTGAAACTTTCAGCTTGGTTCGTTCCAATCGAATGATAAAGTGAACTGAATTTTCAGATTAATGATCTATAATTCGATTTGGCATTTTAGGATTCATAATCTGATTGGAACATTAAATATAAAGTATGGTTTTATTATTTTCTTATATTTATTTGCTATTATTTTGATAATTTCGAGTGTAGCATTGAACAATTACTTTAATTTTAGGTTTCTCTTTCGTATTTGATCCCTTCTGCAGGTTTTAGGTAACCCCCTTTTTTTGTTCAGATTAGATTATTTTGGTTTCAGTAAACATTTTATTAGTTCTTTTTGAGATTCTTTTTTCGGCTTGAATCGCCAAAAATATAGCAGTTTACTGCTTCCATTTCAGCTCCTTAAATTATAACTTAATAAATACTGTATTATACTATAAAAATCTTTGCAACTTATAATAAAAATATATTTTAAAAGATTTACTTATTTACTTTATATAACAAAATAAGTACACTATATTGATTGAAAATGATTGGTTATTCGTCATTTGTCATTTCTAATCATTTGACGAACACTGATTTGAGTAGCATAGCGGACATGCTTAATTTTATCACATTTTTTGATCAATTTGCTGATCATTTATCACATATAAAAATGCTCTGATCGGAAATCCTACATAATAATATAATGAAATAACATATTAAATATCGAAATATAATTAATATACAAAAAGTTGTCTTAAAGCTAACTTTTGTGTTGTTTAATATTTTATTGTAATACATCTATATTATTTTCTACATAACTTAAAATATGAAATATAATGGTTAGTATAGTTCGCAAGCTTTGAAGTCTAAAATAATTAATTTATTATGTAAATTACTTAATTAATTATTTTAGCCCTAAGCTAACTTATGTAAAATACTTGATCTTGCTTTATTGTTTTAGAAATATATTATACATAATCCAAATATCAAATTTTTTAATTTGTAATGTTCGCCTGATCATATACTGTTTTGCCTAAAGCTTTGAATTTTGGATCGGCTGATTTTATATAATGTGATAATTCAATTATATATGATCAGTAAAATGATCGATATGATGATATAACCATGTCTGCTATGCTGATTTGAGTACATTTCAAATTCTTTTGAAGAGGTCCGAATAGAGGTTGGAACCAGTTTTAATTTTAGAAACTGGTTTTATTCATGTTATGAAAATTGGAACCAGTTATATATCGGTTTGAATCGATAAATCGATAAACCAGTTAAAACTGATAAATGATAAAACGAGAAACCGATAAACTGATTATCGATATATTTTTTCGGCTCGTCGTTAGTTTTTTGTAACATAATAAGATAATGAATAAAAAAAAATAATAATAATAAAAATGTAGATTAAATCAACAAATAATTAATTTAAAATTTAATTGTTCAATTAATATAATATTATTTATTATATAAATGTTTAATTAATAAGTAATTCCATTACATTTAAAATTAAAATTTAAAAATTAAAAGAATTAATTATTAAGTACTAACTATTATGACAAGTGTTAATTATTAAATTTCTTAAGGCGAAAATATTTCGAAATGTGTATTATTGCATTTTAAAAATAATACCTTATTTACTAGATCAGGTGATAAGCACGTTCATTTTGTAGAAATATGATTTCCAGCATCAGAAAATAATCGTTCGCTTGGCACTGAAGTGGTAGGAATCGAAAGATAATTCCTTGCAAGTTGCGTCAAAATGGAAAAACTATCCCTATGATTTGCCTACTAGGTTAAAGGATCGTCTTTAACTTTAATATTCTTTATATTTTTATAGTGTGATACTTCATCATCATCATCTGTAATCGTTTGTGTGCAATCACTTTCAAGATCGCAAAAAAAATCATTGTCGTCATCATTCTAATCCTTATCTTCTGTTAGTTCTGTGTCATCTGAAATATGAAGACTTGATTTTAATGCATCATATTTTGTTTTTATTAATTGAAATGCTTTATCACGTTCATCTAGAGTCACCCAATTAAAATGTTTAAACCTTAGATCAAGAAACATAGCAATTAAAATATTATCAGTCAGAATAGACCATAATTCATCTAACGAAAGATAAATTGCAGTTCGAACTTTTTCAATCAATTCAGTGGTATCAACTGATGGTAAGTATTCAATTTGATTTATATCTTCAATGCTTTCGATACTTGTTCATTTTCTAACTGGTCCCATTCGAATTTGTCTTTTTTGACCACGGATTTTCATTCTTTGATGAAATTGTCAATATGCATATTGCCATTGTTGTCGAGTATCAGTAGCAGGTATATCATTACAGTCAACTCTTGATATAGCGAACTCTTGATATAACGAATTTTTGAACAAATATAATAAAAATACTCTTGTTATAGCAAATTGCCCAATCAAATCTCTTAAAATCTTCACTATAGCCTTATAGCGAAGTTGAGGTTTAGGACATAGAGTTCGTTATAACAAGAATTGACTGTATTTAGTTAACAAAGTTATTGATGGATTAAAAATATTTATAAATTATTTTGAATAGCAAGATAATTTTATGTATAATATTGAAGATTTAAAAATATTTTGAAAGTATTTATGAATAACTAAAGTAGAGGATTTTAATTCTAAAAAATAAAGTACTATTGACATGTATTACAAAAGATAAGTTTATAATAATGATTTTAATAATTAATAGTTATGATAGTTAGTAAAGAGATTATAGTTAATAATTTAATTTTATTGAAATAAAGGGATTTGTATTGAAACTTATATGAGTTTTTTACTTTTACGTTTGTGTAAGGTAAAAAAAATATAAATTAAAGCTGAAATCATAACAATGGTAATAAATTAAATAAATTTTTATTTGATCAATAACATTTAATTAATATAATAAATTATGTGAAATTTAATGTTAAAAATCAGTAAACTTTATTAAATAAAAAATTAATTTTTCATATAAAACTAATGGTTCTACCCAATCTGATCAGTTTGGTTTAAACTAATACTAGTTTTTTATCTAAAAAAAAGAAAAATATGAGAATTTAGAAAATTTTAAACAAACGAAAGAATAAAACAAAATAAGAAAATGAAGTTTACTATATCTGTCTAAAATCTAGATCTGAAAAGTTAAAAGAAATATCTAAAAAAAGAAAGTAAATAAAAGATTAAAATGAAATAAAAAAATGAACTTACCGCCTTGAATACAGCTGAAAAGCTCAAAGATCTAAAAAATTATTGTTAATCAATCATCAAGTGAAATGATGAAAAGAAGTATAGAATAAAATGAATTTATCACCTTGTATCTAGGATCCAACCAAAATGCTTAAAGATCTAAAAAAACAAAAAAATAGTTGTTAATCAACCACTAAATAAAAGAACAAGCGAAAGAATAAACAAAAGCAAAGAAGAAAGAAATGAACTCACTACCTTACATCTTGGATCCAGCTGAAGAGTTCAAAAATCTAAAAAAAAAGAAGAAATTGGTTAATTTAATAACCAAACAAAGAAGGAAAAACAAAGTAAAAAAGAAAAAAAACGAAACTTACTGCTTTAGATTTAGCTGAAGTGTCGAAAAGTCTAAAAAAAAAGAAGAATTGGTTAATTAACAACCATGTGTTGAAACAATGAATAAAATAATACAATAAATATAATATTAATAATATTAATAATTTTAATTTTTGCAATTACATAATCACATATAAGCACACCTCTATACAATCACATCATAAGGCGATCCCAAAGGGTGTGATTGTAGAGAGTGTCGGCTGTAGTATAAAAAAATTTATATTTAACTTATAAAGTAAAAAATTTTTCTTTTTGATATTTCTTTTCTTTCTATATAAATTAAAGTTAATATTTGTTATTATAACTACCTTAATTAAAAATTTTTTTAATAATATTTTATGTTTTAAAGATTAAAATGAACCTAAATATATTTCTACCATTTGTGATTTGATTAAGCTTTCAAAATAAAAAAAAAAATTAAAATATATATTTTTGCTGGCCTAAACTTTGGCCATTTGACTATGGCCAAATGGTCAAAATGCAATACTTCTATAACAATATATACGATCTTAACTAAAAAAAATATTGCAAAAAGTCAATCAATTATTGAGTCACTTCGTTCCGGACTAATAACATCATATTTCATATATTTTTCTATTTTTAAATTTTTATGATTAAATTTAATTGCAAACTGGTTCCGTGATGCAATTCAAATTTGATCCATGCATTATTACAACCAACCAAGTATTTTAACTAATTAAAAAATTGGTTCAAAAAGTGATCTTGATCGCCGTAAATTAAATGCATAATAGATATTCCAAATAAACTATTAACTATCTTATTTATTGGGTGTTTTGAATTGATTTACTTCACAGCCACTCTTTAGTCATTATTAACCAAAAATATGTCTCTTCGTTCAAAACGAGTTGTTTTTGAGAAGGCTTTTGCCGAATTTAGACAGGATCTGGAAATTATGTTTAATTTCACTGGATTAGATCAAGTTTCGGGAATGAAAATGTATCAGTATCCTTTTAAACATATTTACTCGTTTTTTTTATTACAAAAAAAAAAAAATTATTCCTTGACAGGACGAACTTTATTAGATTGGTGTATGACATGTGTACTGCTGCGCCAAGGCCACACACCGAAAAATTGTTTAATGCTATAGCTGGATTTTTGAATGATTATACAATACAAATAAGAGAGGTATGCTAGAGATTAATAGACAAAGTAATTAACGTGATATTTAATTAATGGTTTACTCTTTACACGTGATCTTTAATTTTTAGTCGATTTTAAATCACGATGATGTAGTTAGTGCTTATGCTAGAGAATGGAATCATTACAGTCTCGCAGCAAGATTTTCTAGTATGATATGCGATTATCTTAATAAACTTTTGGTAAATAACAAATCACGAGCTATAGCCGATAGAAAAATGACAGTACAAGGTGGTAATTATAGAAGACAGACCGTTCAAGCCGTAAGTACGATTTCTGATAGAAGTCTTCGATTAAAGATTTGATCTAATGATTTTATTTTATATTTTTACTAGTTGGCATACCTTATATGGAAAAAACAGATTGTTTATACCATCAAGGAAAACCATTCTGATCGATTCATGTATCAGATATTTGAAATGATTCGAAAAGATAGGGATGGAGAAGATACTATACCAGATGTTGTGTCAGATGCAATTATATCACTTGGTATTGTCACTTCTAAATATATATTTTATTTTAAAATTATAAGTTTTTATTAAAAAAAATTTTTTTCTTGACGAATACTAGTTGAGCTTAATAATTTGACTGAGAATCCTTTAAGTCTATACATTGAAGAATTCGAGAAGCCATATTTGAAAAATACGCGACGATATTATGAAAGGGAATCTGCCGCTGTAATCGCTAATGCCAGCATTTCTGAATATATGAAAAAGGAACGAACGATTTCTTTTATGTCTTTCATAACCGAGTGATCAAAACAAATTAGTTATATAGCTTATGCTTTTTGATATCATTAAACAGGCTTCTCAAAGATTAGACGAGGAAAAGGCACGAAACTCGAAATATTGTCACCAATCATCACATGTTACTGTACGTTAAAAATAAAGGTTGTATATCATTTTTCTGTATCATTTATATCTTAGACCTTACTTTGTGAACAATGAAACAAAATAGATAATCAAAGAATGCGAAACGCAATATATAGCTGCACATCAATCAATAATTCAGGGTGAATTTGAGGCCATGATATCAAATGAGAGATATGAAGGTAATATTATAAGTAATACCATTTTTTAAACAAAGATGGAAATTTTTTCTCGATCTCAAGAATTTACTTTATTTTACGTAGATTGTACGATGGCCTATACACTTTTGTCTTGTATTCCTGACGGTGTAAATCCTTTATTAGAAATATTTGAAAGATATATTACAAATATCGGTAAAGGATTGATAGTTAGGATGGGAAATTCTATTGCCAAGGTAGTCATCCTATCTTTTAATTATTTTAAAATTCATTTTTGTAATTCATATAATTGTTTTGTATCATTTCAACAGGACCCTAGAGAATATGTAGAATCTCTTTTGGATCATCATTCAAAATATTTGACAGTTTGTCAAAAAGTTTTTGTCAATGGTGCAGCTTTTGTTGCTGCAGTTGATAAGGCTCTTAGGGCAATTGTTAATAATACAACTATAAATCCCGTTGCTCATTCTCCCGAGGTTATGGCCCGTTATTGTGATGTATTATTGAAAAAGACTCACAAAGGAGGATGGAGCGAACACGAAGTTGAAGATAAATTAAATCGAATGGTATTTTTTTTTTTTTTAGTTTATTTAATGATAAATAATGATTTTAAGTTCTTAATTTGAAAACAATAGATTATTCTCTTCAAGTATATTGAAGATAAAGACGTTTATCAAAAGTTCTATTCTAGAATGCTTGCGAAACGTCTTATATATGGAAATTCTGCGTCGGAAGAAGCGGAGTTGAATATGATTTCCCGATTAAAAGTTTGTTACAAATTAGTATTCGTGACCAAATTAATTTTATGAGCGTGTTTTTAATTTATATATTTTATTTTTTTTCCAGAATGCATGCGGTGTTGAATATACTAGTAAATTACAAAGGATGTTTACTGATATCACGATTAGCGCCGATGTCAATAAAGATTTTTCCGATTTTCTAAAAAAAAATCCGATGAATATTGGAGGTATGATTTATGATTTTAATCCACATATCATTTACTTATTGTTGCTTTTTAAAAAACATCCAGTTAATGTATACTATTTACAATTGTTTCTTTAGTTGACTTTTCTATCTTGGTATTAACTGCCGGTGCTTGGCCATTAACACAAATTTCAGCTACTGAATTTCAATTGCCAACAGAGGTAGTATTTTGATTTATATATTCATTTGTTGTAATTGAATTTTAATGGTCAAGTAATTTTATATATATATATATATTTTTTTTAGTTGGAAAAGAGTGTGACTCATTTTTCAACCTTTTATAGTAGTCAGCATAGTGGTAGAAGATTGACATGGTTATGGCATTTGTCTAAAGGTAATTAATTTATTATCTTTCATATTTATTCATTATGCTAATCAATTATTTTATTAATTCAGCTGACGTGAAATTAACGTACCTTGACAAGCGTTATGAATTTTCTGTGTCACTTTATCAGCTTGGCGTTTTACTTTTGTATAATGGTGCTGATATGTTTACGTTTAAAGAAATAATAGAACATACAGGGCTTAATGATCAAGAATTGAGAAGGGTTATGAAGGTAAAAATTTTTCTTTTAAAAAAAAAAAGAAAAGAAAATATCAAGTTTTAATTTTATAATTATATATTTTATAGCCAATGATAGATTTGGCGGTATTCATAGTTTCCAAACCTGGTGGTACTCTTAACGATGAAACTGAAATAAGATTAAACTTGGAATTTTCAAAGTATTTAAAATTTTTATTATATTTTATATCGTTAAAAGATTTTGTAACTAAATATTTTGTTTGTATGACTAGTAAACGAAATAAAATTAAGGTTAGCTCATCATTACAAGCTGAAACACCACAAGAAACTGACGCAACACGAAAAGCAGTTGATGATGATCGAAAACTTTATCTCCAGGTAAAAATTTTGAGAAATATGAATCAATATTAAATAATCTTGTTAATTCTTCTGATTTAATTTTTTAGGCTGCTATAGTGCGTGTTATGAAATCACGAAAAACTTTAACACATGCACAATTAATAAAAGAAGTTATTGATCAAGCAAAATCACGGTTTATCCCCAACGTACCAATGATTAAAAAATGTATTGAACAATTATTAGAGAAACAATATCTTTCAAGAACAGAGAATAAGGATAAATATTTTTATATGGCATAAATAATGTATAGAGAAGTATATAACGTTATAATGACGGGAAAATTATTATTATTATTATTATTATTATTATTATTGTGATTTTAAAATTTATTTTATTAGAATTTTAATTAATGATCCTTTTGATCACTTTATCAAATAAAAAACTAAAACATTAATAAGTAATTATAAATATTATAAATCATATGATCGTTTTAATGAACGATATTTTTTCAAGAAATATAATGCCTCCAATTCTTTTTTTTTTATTCATATAGAAATGATTGACGTTGTTAATTTAACATCTCAAATGATGAAAAAAAAAACAATTTACAATATAAAAAATACCTTTAATAATATATTCTCCTTTATCAATAGCCTCTCTAATTTCATCATTATTTTTTAAATCACGATTTTTCATAAAAGCAGCTTTTAATCTTGGACGAAAATAATTTTCATACCCTAAAGGATACTCTCTACCCAAAAATAGAAGCTAAAATTTTGATGATTTAAATGTTTTAGGAATAGAGAATATAAATATATATAAAATATTTACCCTTCTATATAAATCTCTGACATGATATTTTAGTGAATTAGACATAATCGTTAAAAAAAAAAAAAATGAATGATTTTCAAAAAATAAAAATTGTATTTAAGCAGATCTACATATCACATGAAATTCGAAAACTTATCTTTGTCCATAAAAATGCGAAACGCGATGTTAGCCCCAATTTATCTTTGATTTTTCGTGTAGCAAATCTTTATAAAGTCCAGACCAGATAAACAAAGGGTCGCAAGTCAATTTAACAAAGATATTAATATTACAAGTGCATATTTATAAAATTAAAAATCTTGGTTCCTTTGTAATGTACAATTGGACATCACATTTTTGATGTTTGTTTTTAATTTTGATTTTCATAACCTATAATATTGAATCACGTGAATTCACGTCAGTGATGATTTTTCTCATTTACACAAAGAAAAAAAACTAATTGGTGACAAAGATTTTGTTATCTACATACATTAACTTGTATAAAGCATCCAACCATAAATGTATAATTTAGTTTAATGCATTTTCTATATTATACAACATCAAATAACATTAAAATTAATAATATAAAAAATTTCCGCGCAATTTTTCTTCTTTGATAAATAAAGTCTGTTGATTATTTTCTTCGCTTGAAATAAATCAACCACCTTCTGATGGCATACATACTTTTTTTTTTTTTTTTTTTGCAACATTGGGTTGAAAAGTAACATTCACGTGGAAACTTTGCTAGAATATTCATCCTTACTTTAATTAGTTTCTGCGTGGGTTTATTTTAAAAAATTTGTGAAACAAAAAATAATCATGAAACAATTGATGATATTAAATGAAAATCTTTTGTATTCTAATAAATACACAATATTTTTCCCTCATATTCATTTTCAGGCAGGAACTAAAATATAAAGGATATGACGATAGATTCGCATCCTACATATTACCACCATACAAAGATTATATTAGCGTAGTTTGTTATTCGTTATACGACTTCTAAAAGAACCACTCAAACAATTTGTCGTTCCACCCCTTAAACCTCATCAACTTCATCCAAAGTCATATCAATCGAGTTGCACCACGAACACAAATAAAAAAATATTATTCAAACTTCTGTTATTCAAATTATTTCGGTAATTGTCTTGCTTGCTCTTTTGCTTTTTTAACGAGAAATAAAAAAATTTTGTCTTTCCTTTATTTTACTTTTTCAAACAATAATTTCTATCGAAATTGATTTCCTCCCTTTTTATCGTCTGCAGCAGCAACATACCCTTTATTTTCCTTTTTTAGCATTTCACGAGATATTATTATATATTATTATATACTATTATTATCTGGTAAAAACTTACTATCCATTTCTTTCTTTTTACTCTTTCTACTACTCATCGCTAATTATTAAGTTACCTTTTGCTTTTGTTGACTTTTTTTAAAGTTATCATAAAAGCTTGATCTAATATATATATATATATATGGACTAGTAAGTTAATAAATAGCTGTTTACATTTATACATCGCATGACAAAAACAGGAATAACTTATCAAACTATGAATCATTTATAGTTTCTGTCTAATACAAGTACGGCTCGAGGGCCGCGAAATACCTGTTGATATTGATTATTCACAAGGAACTTCTGTTCAAGCTGTGCTTGAAAGAGTAAGTAGATAATATTCATAAACGAATAATCGATTATGGTTCACTTTTCACTAATCTTAACATTCAACTCAGGCATGTAGAACTTTGGGTATATATGATTCATGGAATTATGCTTTATATAGCGAATTATTTAAAACCTGGTTATGCGAATCACACTTATTGTCATCATACCCGGCTGAAGTAAGAAAAAAAAATTAGTATATCTATAATTTTTTTTTTTTTTAAAAAAAAAAAATCTGATCTCATTATCTCATTTATTTAGGATACTTTGATAGTTCGAAAAAAGACACCGGAATACCTTGAACTTGTATATAATGAAGAAAATCCAAAAAAGGTTTTTTTTTTTTTTTTTTTTTTTTTTTTTTTTGAAAAAAATATTACCACGTGATGTGATCTAACATTACATTGAACTATCACATTCAGCGTTCGGTATCATCAAATGGTTTATCACCAAATACCTCTGTACAAACAATAAAACGACGGGGAGTTTTTAGTAGTACAAAGACGTGTTTGAAAACGCGTTTTCAACCAGAAACAATTTATTTATCTGCTATCTTATTTACGAGTGATAACAAAGTATTGATAACATCAAGTGCAAAAATGTTTCCTACTGTCGAAATTATAAAGGATGGTATAATATTTGGTAATGTTGAAGATGATAGTGAAGAATTCGCACATGTTATAAGAACTTCTCTGGATTGGGCTACTTCAACTGAATTTGATAATAAAGAAGATAATTCTAGTGATACTGATTCGTTACACTCTACTCAATCAAATTCAAATAATGGTGCTACAGGAGATTCTGATAATAATCATTCTCAATTTTATGGTGATCAAGACACTCAATGGTCACGTGCTTTTGGTCAAGCCGCTTTAAGATTAAAGAATGAATTATCATTGGAATCATTAGGAATTTTATACGAACATGTTGTATCTATGAATACTTCAAAATCAAAGTTTATCGTAACTCTTCAACATGTACCGAATTGTATTAGAGAAGAAATTGCTCCTGATTTGATAAAATCTGGTACATTAAAATGGAAAAATTTTGAAGAATCAAATTCTATTTATCAAAAAGATCCACATCCTGTTTGGTCCAATTATATAGATAAATGGTGTTCACGTCAAACAAAATTATCCCCTGGACTTTATTTAGGTGTTTTATATACCGAAAGTACTTTGCAAGGTATTAAAATATTAGTACCAAAAGATCGTAAACAATTTATTCCTTTAGGTAAAATTCGTGACGAAGCTACAATTACTCCTGAAGAGGCAAGCTGGGTTAAATCTTTAACTTGTTTAAGTCAGGATTGTTTTGTGGATTCAGTAATGTCTACTAAATCTGATAAGGACCATAACAAGTCAACTTTAGGACAATTTCAAACTTCTTTTTTAGATTGTTATTATAAGTTACAACATGATACCAGCCTTAATTGGGAATCTAGTGATATTTATAGTGATCAAACTGTTGATATTTATTTAGATTTACAAACTAATCAAATGTACACGATGATGGGTGAATTGGATGATAATATTATTGAACAATGTGGTAATTTTTCTTCATCTCCAACCGAATTATTTTTGGATCCGAATGTTAATAATAATAATAATAATAATAAACATAATAATAATAATAACAATAAATTTAAAAACATTTATAAAAGTAGTAGTAGTTATAATATTAGTAATGATAATAAAAATAAATTACAGGAAATACAAGGAGAGGAAGAGGAGGAAAAAGACAAACTAAAGGAATTGCAAAAATCTCAAAAAGATGAAAATTCTGAGGAAAAAAAACAAATATATGAACCTCAAGGTTCTACGCAAGATGAACAAGGAGATTTTACCTTTAATGTAAATTTTGATTCACCCGATAAAGAAAATTTTTTAATTGCAGCGAGTGCGCCAGAATCTGAAGATGAAGATGATGAAGGTGGTTCAATGGTGAAAACTTGTACTTCGACGGGTGCTGCAACTTCTATCGCTGAAGAAGTTGCTTCACACATGACTTCATCGATCACCTCCTTTAACACCGGAAATACGATTCGACCTTTCATTCGTATTATTATGATAGTTAAACCTATGCGTCAACCACATCACATTCGTGGTCCTTATTATTCTCGCTTATGCATGTTATATCCTTTTCCTTTATATGACGCTCTTCAGCACGCTACATTTAATACTTCATTATACGCTTGTTCTCGCCGTGCAATGCAAATTTTACAAGCCTCTCGAACCTATTTCACTCAAGAGTTAGTTAGGCATTTACAAAAAGTTGATAATTTCTCTGAAGTAAACGAACAAAACCTTGAAGATTTCTTTTTTGACCCAGATGAATTCAACAAATTTCCTGATGATGCACGTAGGGTTCAACAAGCTCTTGATGTTATTCGTGATGAAATTGTTACTTTAAGACAGCAATGGAATGCTGCTTCTTGGACAATGACAGCAATCGAATGGGATCGTCAAAGAACAATGCAAGCGTATAGTTTTGGCGGAAGACCAATGACTCTTAATGTTTCCAAATCAGCAGGTCAAAGTCGTGCCGCTTCAGTTTATAATTTAAGTCTTTCCAACAATAATGATGACGATGGTCCCAACAGGAAAAGATTATCCACAACTTCAAGGGTTTCTACTTCCGATACAGTTTCACATATAGAAATTCTTCGAGATGTTATGTTTCATGCTCCTGATCGTGCTTGGAATTATATCAATTTATTGGGAATACCAACTCCTTCATTTTCCTCAATTAATAATTGTGAAGTGATTAATAATAACATGAATAACAACAATATTAAGGATAAGAAAAAGAAACAAAATGATAAACAACCTATCAAAATATCTTCGATACCTTCTCAATCATCTAAACCTCTTCCACCAGTATTAGTCGCATATTTAGCTTCATTACCTGTTATTGCAACTCCAACATTAAGACGATCACCTTCGATATCTTCTACGATTTCAACAATTTCATCTAATGCTTCTTCAGGGGCTATAAATCCTCTTCCTGCAAGAAAGAAATCGGCTGGACATCGTCTCATGAGAACTTTTGGTTTCGGTGGAAATCGTAACAATAATATACAACAACAACAACAACAAAATAATGTCATTAATGATGATTCTTTTGATGATCTTAATAATAGTCAAATTAAAAATGTTGTAGAAAATAGCAAAAAAATTTTAGCCAAAAGGGCAAATTCAAAGAAATTAAAAGATGTTCAAATTGATGATCAAAGTAGTATAATTAATTTTGAAAGTGATGATACAATTACCATCATTGTTCCTCCTCGATCACTAACTCCAATAGCTTCATCGTTTACTATTGAACCTACTGAGCTTGAAGTTGAAACAATGGAAATTCATCTTAATGATAAATCGGAAGAACATGAATCATCAACTAATTCCCAACAAGAGGATGTCGAATTTTCATCTGGAATCGTTATTAAAAATTTCGAGGCAGAGGATTTAGACGAGAATGTTGTTGATACCAATGAACATGATGATAGTAGTAGATTTATCACGGAAAATGAGGACGAGGAATTACCATATGAGAATAATAAAAATATTATAAAATCCAAATCAATACCAAATCATCATGATGAAACGGTTGAAATTATTGAATTTGAATTTAAATCAAAAGACGAGAACGTTGTTGATACCGATGAACATGATAGTAGTAAAGTTATCACGGAAAATGAGGATGTGGCGTTACCATATGAGAATAAAACTATCATAGAATCCAAATCAATACCAAATCATCATGATGAAACGGTTGAAATTATTGAATTTGAATTTAAATCAAAAGACGAGAATGTTGTTGATACCAATGAACATGATGATAGTAGTAAAGTTATCACGGAAAATGAGGATGTGGCGTTACCTTATGAGAATAAAACTATTATAGAATCCAATTCAAAACCAAATCATGATGATGAAACGGTTGAAATTATTGAATTTGAATCTAAATCAACATCACAAATGGAATCCTTTACAATGCCTTATAATGACGAAAACGACGTTTTTGATGCTGATGTGATTAACCGTAGTAATATTGAAAGTAGCATTACTTTTACAAATAATACATCTTTAGAACTCGCTACTGCTAATGGAGGAGAGGTAGAGTCTCCGGCAGACGAAAGTTCCGATATAATTCACATAAAGAGTAATAACGAGAGCGACGTTTATGATGCTGACGTGATTAACCGTAGTAATATTGAAAGTGACATTACGTTTACAAATAATACAACTTTAGAACTCGCTACTGCTAATGGAAGAGAGGAAGAGTCTCAGGCAGACGAAAGTTCCGATATCATTCACAAAAAGAATATAATACAAACCATTTTGGGTAGTATTTCAGAAGTCAGTGAGGAAGTTATTAATGAGAATATCGTAAACGACATGGTTCATGAAAATGAAAGCGAAGATGAGTTCCTTAAACTAATGGAAATTTTTGATAACATTAATAATGAAGAAAGTGCTGTCGTGGAAAAAGGAGATGATACTGATGCTGCTATGAACGCTCGTCTTGACGCTATGATTGACGCAACCGATGTTAATACTGAAAATGTAGAACCTTTGTACGCGTCAAACAAGTTGTTGGCAGTAGTCTCTGAAGATTCAATGCAGAATTCATCGACTACATCCAACTCTACTTCAACTTGTACTTCTACAACTCACACCACTACAACTTCGGCAACAGACACTCCATTATCATCAAGGGCTTCTTCATCTCCATCAACACCCCATCCTCATCCTCCTCCATCAACTCCAACGAATGGCCTTGTTCTTTCTCAGTCATCACTTTCAAATGCTTCATTTCCTTTATCAAGTCCTACTACTCCGCATTTTCCTCCTCCTTTATTCTTACGATCAATACCTCCGACACCATACTTTTCAGATGAAATTTTACATTCACCTGAAACTTCCATACCTGAAACTCCCGATTTCCCCCCTCCAGAATTTTCTAATGAATTTTCGGCACCACCAACACCTCAACTCGTTCCCCAAACATTATCAGAAATTGATTCTGATAGTCCTCTGTTAGCTCCCTTGTCCTCTCCATCATCCGAAACACCGTTACACGCGTCAATTCCATCAACGCCACAGTTCTCACCTTCAGCACATCATTCTAGACCATCAACACCTCAATTAAATGCATTAACTTTATTTGAAGAATTAAAACATGCGACATATCAATTAGTCGCTCAAACTAAATCTCCTCCTAGTTCATTATATGAGGAATCAATTCATACATCTCATGTACAACGAACGAAGTCACCACCACCTTTTCAATATTCAAGGCCACCAACTCCACAAGTTTCTCCGCCAATTTCTCCATCATCACTTCCTCCTCTTCCTTTATCAACTCCATCAACTCCACGATCCGTTCTATCTCCATTTTCTGCTCAGGCATCTTCAAATACGACATCAGCAGGTGATTTTCCTGAGGCCACAAGTCAACCTTCAACTACAAAGTCGTCATCCCCGTCTATTTTTCCGAGATCACGAACGACGACTCCGCCACCTGTAAAAATTGCACTTTCTGACCAAGCGGTACCGACCACATTAAAATCACCTTTGACTTCACCAATCCCATCATTGATACCTAGACCTCCAATTGTTCGATCATTATCTTTACGACCTATACCTTCTTCCCCTTCATCATCATCTCGTCCGCCGCCTCTTCCACTTCCTCCAACGTGGCCAAAACTTAAAAAAACCAAAAGACCTGAACCAAAGAAGGACGAATTAAAGCCTGAATTTGATCAATCAGATTTTCATCGTAAACCACGTTCTAGAGCTACAAGCTTTTCTGAAGGAAGTGACTTGGAGTTGAGGAATATACTACATGCTAATAATCATCCGCAACGAGCAGCTTCAGAACTTGGTTTTCATGATGTAGCTGAACTTAATAATAATGTACGCGTTGATTTCGAACAACAAAAGATTATAAATGATAACGATGAGACTAAGATTACTTCGAACAATAACTCGGTTAAAGTAAACGGGTCTAAAACATCTTTTATAAAGTCACAAACTAAAAATAATAAAAATTTATTTATTATTAAAAAACTTAAACAATTAGAGATTAATACGGAATGATTAATTAAGATGATGTTAAAGACACAAACAACATCAAATGGTATCGTTAATGATATGGATAGACCGGGGGAATCGATTATTTACGTATCGAAAGAACCATAATAATCATTCGATAAACGACCGATGGGAGGAATATTTCGGTAGAAAGTGATGAAGGCGATACAATAATATATTTATCGTTGCATTATATTATACATACAGAACATACGGAATATTCAACTTTTATATCTAAATCTTTTGTATAGGAAAAAAAAAATTTATAAAAAATTTTCAAATTGATTTATTGGATTTATTGGCTTTTTTTTTTTTTTTTATTCCCCTTTTTATTTTTTCATATAATAAATATTCCCTTTTTTTGACAAGATAATTAAATAAAAAACCGGTTAATTTGACAGTAAAAAAACAGGTTTCCCACAAAAATAAAAAAAACGTGCAAATTCACTTTATTAAGCCAAATGTTTTCACACGCGTAAATCACGTAAATTCAAAACCAGAAACTCGTCCGAAATCTGTGTGTCACATCACTTGAGAACTTCCGTAACTTAAAAAAAATCATGCGACGCTTATCTATATATAGGCTAGACCCCTTTTTTGTTTCTGTCCATACTTTTTAATAATCCATCATGTCTTCCGATCGCGTCGTCGACCCTGCCTTATTAACCTTAACTCGTCAAAAAGATATTCTCGTTGAGAACCCACGAAAAACGCGAAAACGACAAACGGAGAATAAAGAAAATGTTGAAAATTTTCAGCCCAATAAATCTCAGAGAGCTGGTTATTGTCCGTCGATAAAAGTACCGATAACAAAACAGAGAAAAGAAAATATTGATATTTTAGTAGGAAACGAAAAGAAGGAAACCCCTCAAGAACAGTCGAAATTTCATAACCTTTTAGTGATTCACGTGGAAGATGCACACAAATCAAAGGTGAACAAGTTTACTTTTTTTTTTTATAAAACCTTTACGTTTGTAAATAAATACCTTATGTTTTTTTTTAATAAATGTAATAACAGAAAGTGACTTTGATAAATGAAGATAATTTGGAAGAATTTTTTCTCATTTTATGTGATTCTTGGATGGATACAAAAATTTTCAAGAGTTTGTTTTTTTTTTTTAATCCGTATTATTCGGCATTGAATTCACTAATTAACATAACTATCGTCAATCCCGTATAGATGATACTGTTAGTATTATTGGCGAATTTAAAAACAGGTCCTGTGAAGCGAACGATTCGAACGATGTTCTTATAATTGTTAATCCTGATGTGCTAGTGTCATCTACTTGTGTTAGTGAGGCATACAGTTGCATGAGAAGGGCCATTTTAAAGGACCGAATAAGTAGTGGTAATTTTAATACCCCATCGGCCGTACTTGGAACGCTTAGTCACGAATTTATTCAACATTGCTTAAAGAACAATGATTTTTCACCATCTTTTATGGATTCAAAGATAAAACAGGTCATGAAAAAAAATATCCCAAAAATATATTTTTCTAATTTAAAAGAATCCAAAGTTATTAAAGAATTGGCGGATAAAAAGATCATATATCGTAATTTTGCCGAATGTTATGTCAGTCAAATGCCGAAGTTCGACTTGGGAAAGGTTGAAAGCATTCGAGGTGATATATACTCGTTGATTTGTATTAGCAAAACCTTGGACGTTGAGGAACGTATTTGGTCTCCAACATTTGGACTCAAAGGAATTTTAGATGCTTCAATCGAAGTCAAAGTTTTGGAGAACAGGACTTTGAAAAAATATATTATGCCGCTAGAAATAAAAACTGCCTGGAAAGAGGATTTCACTCATAATTTACAGACCATATTGTATTGTGTGATGATGAATGATCACTACAAAGTTAACGTTGAATCAGGCTTACTTTATTACGTAAAAAATAATAATGATCGAAATGATCAAAATGCGGGAAAATTAAAAAGGATTCACGTGTCAATTCAAGAATTACGAGAAATACTCAAGACTCGTAACGAAATCACTTGGTATTTGTCCAATCGACAACGACATATTTTGCCACCAATGATTAAAGATCCTCAAGCGTGTGGTAAATGCAACATCAGGTCCACGTGCTTTCTTTATCACAAGGCTATCGAAAACGGTAAATCAGAAGATTCTGGTGTCGTTGACCTCTTTAATGAATCTACTGCGCACCTTGGAGAGGTTCATCTTGAATTCTTTCGAAAGTGGGAGGAACTAATTAAGTTGGAAGAAGAGGACGTGAGCCAAGTGCGACCACAAATCTGGAATACATCAAGTTTGAATCGCGATTCTACCCAAAGTCTTTATAATATGCATTTAGATTTGAATAGCATAATAGAATTCCCAGGTTCTACCGGATTGTGTCAACTCAAATGCAAGTTTTTTCAAGTAGATTGCAAAGAAAGTTCAATATTGTACACACAGTTTTGTGTTAATGATTTTGTTGTTGTGTCTTCTGAACAAGGACATTATGCACTAGCCACTGGCTTTGTGAATGAAATCGCGCCAGATTATATTTGTTTAACTTTGGACCGTAAACCTTGTGGTGGCCCAAAGCAAGCAAACGACTTTGACATAGAGTCTTGTCACAGCTTTTTAGGATTACAGGATCGAACGGAACAAGAAGGAATACTTAAAAATCCATTAGGATTTGACTTGGCTACAACTTCTTACCGAATCGATCGGGATGAGTTGACCTCCAGCATAAAGCTCGTACGGCAAAATCTTGTTAGTCTCCTTATGGACGTTTCAACTAGAAAGTTAAGAAAGTTGATAGTTAATCTTGAAGCACCACAATACGGTCGAACTTTCTCTACATTAATAAATTATAATGATCTTAAAAAGGATTTGAACGAGGATCAAGTTAAAGCATTTGAGTTAGCTTTGAATGGTATGGTCAAGTGCATGATATTAAAAAAGATGTATTTTCAACAATAATTTAATCATACTAAACGTAAATTATATAGCCGAAGATTATGCATTAATTTTAGGAATGCCAGGGACAGGAAAAACTTTTACTATAGCCCAAATCATTAAGGCCCTTTTACGTAGAGGTGATTCTGTGCTCCTTGCCTCTTATACTCATTCAGCTGTGGATAATGTTCTTTCAAAATTAAGTGATTATGGAGAAGAAATATTAAGGATTGGTGATAAAAGCAAAGTCCACAAAAGCATTTGGCCACAAATAATAGACAACAATAAATTTGAGAGTATTGACGAATTTTCTGATTTCATTGAAACTAGGAAAGTGGTTGCAACCACATGCCTTGGAATGAATAAGTAAGTTCGAATAAAATGTTTTTAGTCATAACTGAATCATTCTCATTAATCTACCTTTTCCGTACACAGTCCAATATTTACTAAACGAAGGTTCGATTATTGTATCATTGATGAAGCAACGCAAATAACACTTCCTACTTGTATTGGGCCACTTCGCTTTGCGGATCGTTTTCTTCTAGTCGGTGATCACAATCAGTTACAACCTTTGGTGCGTAGAACAGAAGCCATTAAGAAAGGAATGGAAAAGAGTTTATTTAAAATGTTTACAGAAATTCATCCAAATGCGGTTGCAAATTTAAGATATCAATATAGAATGAATGAAGAAATCATGAACTTATCCAATTCGATAATTTATGATAGCAATATGCTCAGTGGATCGACAATCACGGCTCAAACACGTTTGTGTATTCCTAGATGGAATGAAGGTTTTCTTTCCCAATTTCATGACCCGGAATATTATTGCTGTCACGAGAGTTGCTGGTTAAAAGATGTAATCGATCCAGAACGACCATTAATTATGATTGATACTGATAACCTCCTTACCAAAGAGTTTGTTTCAAATGGAAAGTATCAAAATGATATGGAGGTCATACTTGTCGAACATAGCGTCAAAGCTTTATTGGCAGGAGGCGTCCCTGCTAAAGAAATTGGTATCATCACGCCATTTCGTTCCCAGTTAAAACACATTGCACACAGATTTAAAGGTTGCAGTGAGTTGGAAGTTTCGACAATTGATCGTTTTCAAGGAAGGGAGAAACAAGTCATTGTATTATCATTGGTGAGATCGAATTCTGAATTAAAGGTAAATAATAAGATATTCTTATAATATAATACATCTATTATCATGATCTAATCAACCCCTTTCACGCTGCTTATAATAAATGGATAAAGGTTGGAAACTTGCTTGAAGATTACCGACGAATAAATGTTGCGATAACTCGAGCAAAATTCAAATTAATAATTGTCGGTAGTCGTTCTACACTGTGGGCGTCGTCAATTTTAAGGAATCTTATAAATTATCTTGAAAATAATAATATGGTAAGCCTTATTAATTAAATCAAATACTAAATTGAATTAGATCGTCTATCTTGAAAACGATCAATCTTTTTATATTTTAGATATATCAACTGTCCAATAATGGATCTCCATATTGGCACGATATTCCATTATTCGTTGATTTAAGTAACGTCAAGGATTTTGCTGAAGTCAACAACAAAGGTAATAAAGCTTCGACAACAAAAAGATACAAATCAACTAATTCGATGGTATTTGTTGAGACAATTCTAAAGAGAAATCCCATCATGAAAGAGATTATGAATGAGGATTCCAATTTAACTTCTATAACTTAATAAATCATGATATGTAAATTTATTAATAAAAAAGAGGTTTAGGGGTTTTTTTATTATCAATCCGTTGAATAATAATAAATTATAAGCATAAAAAAATTAACTATAATTTATAAAAAGAATTTTCTACTAATTTAATGATATTATTAACTTGCCAATAAAAACGAAATTAAGGTTATTTTTCTAATACATGAACGTCGTATAACGACGCATGCTTTTTATGCTATATACAAATTATATATACATTGAATAGCTCTATTATATAATACTACTATTCATTGCACTAACGTTTAATTGTTCAATAATCATTTTGCATCAATTTATTTTCATCTTTTTCTTTTCTACAAGTTCTTCTACGGCCCGCCTTCGTTTTTTTGGTTCAACATCATCGTCTTCAACAAGTCTTGAATTTATTCCGACATCTTCAACGCGTTTGACGACTTCAGTGTCATCTTCGGTATCATCCTCAACGGAACCATCCAGAGGAACACCAAATCCCAATCCAACTCCTATTCGAATTGAATGTATATCACCATTGTTGACCATTCCTTTCAATTCCGCATTTACTTCTGTGATGAAACTGGCATTTGTACACGGAAGGTTGATGTGAAGATTCTCGGCTTCATTTGCTAGCATTTCAATCCGTCTCATGTTTTCAATAAACTTAATTCGTGCAGTCCTAGGCGCACGACACATAGCACAGTACCAATGCCCATAATTAGAGGTATCTTCGGCTTTCATGATTATACATTCACAATGATACCTAACACGTATAAATCAATACGAGCAAATATGAGTACTTCGAAATTTTTTTAATAAAAAAGGTCGTATGATAAATATATAAATATATTTTTTTTTGTTTAAAGTATATTTACCAAGTATCACATTTATCACAGCAGATCATTTTACTACCATCATCCTTGCCACGGCAGAAGCAATAATAACTTTTCCTGTCATTACCGGCTTGATAAACACTCTTTAGCCTGCAATCCCAATCATATAAGAAATCGGTGATGTCGAATTCGCTCAGTGGTACGTCCTGATATTCAATCGGCCAGCGCAGCTTCATACGCGACGAGAGTTAAATTATTTTCCCAGTTTATAGCTTCGCCGACTATACGTTCTATATCATCCAGAGGAAGTCCGAATTTGTATGAAAGGTTTGTTTCGACAATAGGTGTGAGTTGTTCCAGCGTTAAGGCATTTATTGTATCAACGTGTTTAATTAATGCTTTGTAACGGTCTTTACGTATTTGCATCAAATCGTTGATACGTTGCTCCAAACTTTTTAAATGGCGATCCGAATACCGTACTCTAAGATAGCAGCATGGATCTTCACAAATGCAGATAGTATTGGCGTGCTCTGCGCATTCTAAGCACAAAATTTTTTTTTTTGTGCAATTGAATTGTAATGCTGATAATCCAGTCCAGCTTCTACAATTTGTACATAGCGTTTCATCGTCTTTTGGATCGGCCAAATCGTAGGTGGCCTCCTGAAGACGAAACGAAGTAGCGACTTCGCAACGTTGTCGGATCTCTTTCTGGCAGACTTCGGTCAAAGGTTTCTTCAACCTAATAAAGGTATATTATAAGAAAAAAAAACTTCCAAGTTTATCATCATATTAATGAATAAAAAAAGCATACCAGCTTAGAACCTTAAAATTATTAATTTTTTTTAGACCTATGTCTACCAGTAATTTCTCGT